GACGCTGGGAGCTGTCCTGACGGCAATATGGTCGCGACAGACAGCTACGCCATCATGTCTCCCCCAGATTCGCCGCCCATGACGCAGCACTGGGAGGGCCGCGCGCCACAGGTCAAGGAGGGGATGGTTGGCAAGTCGGGTATGTCTGTTGGTGCGCCTCTCGGGTTGTCGGTGTTCTCTATGACATTTGAGAAATTGGATAGGCTTCATTTGGACTAACCGCCCGGCAGGCCGTCTCGCCCCCAGATGGGTTCATGACCTTCTCAACTCTGAGCTCGACGTCGGCTCATTCACTAATATCCAATGGGATCCGAATGCCCGTTGCAGCCGCAAGGGTGCATCCCACACACTCGTGCTTGTTGGCAACCAGAGTACCGCCGACGCCGCGAATCCTGGTGTTCTCTCCTGCGTCTGCACTACATGCGACTTCCATTTCCTCATCAGGAGAGCTTGGGACCCTGACCAACTGGTTCAACTCTGCCAGCCCGCACCCCTCCACTTTCCCCTAGAAGACACAGACTTTTATCTGCATCATCTGGTCAATGTCCGACAGCCATCTCAGCTCCAGGACTATACCTCCGAGTACCACCCTCTGATCAAAGAGTCTCTCATCGCCGTAGAGCACTTTGCGTGCTCGGCCCCTCGTTGTACATTCCAGGTTACAGCCGAGATATCGCGTCCTCGTCTGAAGCGGGAATGGGTTCAGCTCCTGACCGATCAGCAACGAATTCTCGACAACTTGGCAAATGCTCGGAAGGAGTCCCCGGACCGCTTCGCAGACGCCAGAGACGACTGGTGTACTAGCGCGCCCTCCACTCTCAACACATACCTGCGAGATTTACTAGACAAACCGAATCCCCGCAACATTTCGCAACGTAACAAGCGGTTCCATGTCGTGTTCGGAGAAGAATGTTATGTTATTTTCAGGGCGATTCAGTTTTCGGAGGAGACGCTCGAAAAGGACGAGGTCCCGGAGCCTTACTTTATCCCACCCAAGTTGGAGCCTGGTACGCCTGGCACACCAACAAAGATTAGCACTCTTCGGGCGTTCATCGAGGACATGCAGGCTGAAACAGAGAGCCTGATCGTTCGCAGTGGAAGGACAGGTGAATCACGAGCTGCTGCTGGAAACCGTCTTTCAAAGGAGTTGCAATGCTTTGACTATCCACGGAACAAAACCACTTCGACAGCTCTCGAGGCTCATCGAATCCTCGGCGTGTTGCCAGACTTCGACAGGGCCCTCATCGTCTACGCCTACAAACGGCAGTCTGTCTTATGCGAGCAACGTCGAGCAGACTATGTGGCGGCACTTCGCGACATTGCCCAGGAACATTCTGACGATGAGTTTCAAACACAGGCAGTGCAGGAGCTCACGCTGGTGGAGAGGACGCCTAGTGAGAATAATGGAGCAGTGGATGAGCTCCAGCAACAGGCATACTCGTTCTTCAGCCTGAAGTACACTGCGTCTGATGATGAGGTTATTTCTGCATACAATAGGAAGATTGAGCACTCTCCCTCCCAAGCCGATTTCGCGCGAGAGATGATGCAAGTCATCGGGCGCCATAGATCCAGCGACAGGATTCTCCTCCAGACCGCTGGGCCGATGGACATTTCCACAGCTTATCGAATTCTCGAGACAGAAAAGGAGTGGCCAGATGATAGTATTCGCGCCATGAGTGAGGTTAAGGTGTGTTGGAACGAGACGAGAGCCCCGCCGTGCTACTGCGACTAATATCTCTTTCCTAGGTCACTAACAATGCCGGGAACAAGCCAGTCATTGACCAGGCGCTGAACGCTTTGGAGGCCATTGCCAATGATAGAAAGAGCGACATGCTGCGCCAGACAGTTCTTAGCTGGAGAAGTGATGCGGGAAGCTCGGCAAAAATCAACTCGACCTCTGGGTTGCCCACAGCGTCTGAAGAGAACACCAAGCCTCGTCTTGACCTGCCTGCTGGGCTTGAAAACATTGGTAACACATGCTATCTCAACAGTATTTTACAATACCTGAGAACGGTTGTGCCTCTCAGGACGCTGCTTGCTCAATACGCAGACTACCAGCTTGGTCAAGATGAGTCCGAGGTCACGATGAGACGAATCGGAGGAAACAAACTCCCGGTCGAGCAGGCTGAAGCGGTAATTGCAAGAATATGTGAGTTGCTAGCTAACGATTATCCCCGAGTCCCATGCTAACTTTTCTCAGTCGTCGAAGAACTTAGCAAGCTGTTGGAGGATCTCGACAAAACCAAAGAAACAGCTATCCGTCCGTCGCAACGTCTTGCCAACGCAGTGCTCCTACCCACAATTGAGATCAAGAAGCAGTCGAACGCGGAGGAGGGTCCGAAGACGCAAGAGGTTATGGGCGCACAGTTCCCTTTGCCCCCGCCACTCCCGGCACGTCCTGCTCCAGTACCTCCCGCAAAGAGCGTGGAACACGTCGGGCCCTTACCAGACGCAAACATGGTCAACATCACTGTAGACCCTGTCTCAGGCTCTGCAAGCAGTGTGAGCTCACAGACGCTGGTCAGTCTGGACGCCGACCAAGATAAGAATGCCGTACATGAGGACAACATGGACGTAAAATTCATCTCTGAGCACCCTATACCTCCAAGCGACTCGGATGAAAAGGATGTGCAGATGGTTGATGCACCCGCACCTTCGGTCGAGGAAAGAGTTCTCAAAGCTCTCGAAACCCAGAAGCGTTCTTCTGGCACCGACCAGCAAGACGTCGAAGAAGTCATGGGTAGCATCATCAACCGGCTCCAAGCAGCAATCAAACCCACCGAGACCGACTCCAACGAAATCCAGTGGGAGCCAATCATGAACACGTTCTACGTCGAACTGGCCAACCACACAAAGATGCCCAATCAAGAAAAGTTCACCGCAGAGTCCATCTTGGAACGTGCGATAACAGCGTACCCTGCGGAGGGAGGACCCAGCACGATTGAGCAAGGCCTTGATCGGAACTTCAACGTCCAGCGGGTCGCTACTACCGACGGACATGACATCATGCGATTCACCTCCATCAAGAGGCTTCCGCCGATCTTGCATGTACTCATTCAGAGAACGAAGAACGACGGCCGGAAGAATATGAACCCTGTTCAAGTATCCGAAACGCTCTGCTTGGACAAACACATGGATGCGGCTGGAGACCCGGATGCCCTCAAACTCAAGCAAAAAGGATGGGTCATCCAGGAGCGTCTCGACCAACTGAGCAACAATGCAAAGACTTCTGCCGATAACCCAGAGCTTATGGATAAGTTCATCGACGGCTTCGTTCGCGTCGACAAGCCAGAAGACGAAAAGTCGGTCTTGACCGACGAACCTACAACATCGCTCAGTTTTGCTGGGGAGGAACTCGTATTCCCAGCCTACGCCTCACCCTCAGACTCAATGCTTGAGAAAGTTGACGCCCCTATTGGAGCTTTGGCGGAAGCTCGCCAGAACATCAAGAGCATGCGTGAAGAAGAAATGAAGGCGCGCTCAACTGAACATGATGCACTTTTCCAAACGCGAAAGCAGGTATATCGTTTGCAAGCAGTCATATGTCACAGCGGACAGCTGAATGCGGGGCACTACTGGGTATGGATTCACGACTTCGAAGACAACATCTGGCGCAAGTACAACGATCGTACGGTTACAGAGAACGCTAGCACCGAGAAGGTTCTGGAGCTTCTCAACAGCAACGGCGATCCATACTACCTGTGCTACGTCGATGACAAGAAGCTCGACTTGGTCAAAGTTCCGAAGCGCAACTTGGACGCAGATGGCGACATCGATCTGGTGGATGTGCATGCCCTGCCCTCGGAGACCGGTCGAACCTAGTGGGGCGTCTGTGTTGCAGAGGACAGCTCTGTTGCAGCTGAGGATAATGGTGTTGTGACCAACGCCGCCTTTGACAGGGACGCCAACGACAGGGACGCCAACGACAGGGACGCCAACGACAGGGGACGCCAACGACAGGGAACGCCAATGACAGACGCCAAGGAGAGGGACGGCGATGAGACAGGTAAGGGGATGAGCAGTTACTCGCGTCGCCGTACACGCAATGCTGAATCTCACAAGCCACCCCTCAAACGCGAAAGGCGCTACAGCGATTCCACCTTGACTAAGAGACGAGTTACTCGGTCCGTCACTCGTTCTAGAAAAAGGCAAGCGGACTGCACAGATGAGAACGCGGCAAGTTCTTCAAATCCACGTGTCAGCGTCAAAAGAAGAACCCGACTCTAGATCACGATTTGAGGTTTAGAGCGTTGAAGAATAAAAGAGAAACACCCGAACCCGGCGCTTCGAAACACAAGAAAGCGAAGACGTACATGAACAGCGAGAGTACTGGGTATGGATTGAGACGTTAGTGTCTGGTCTCAAACGTCAACTCCATAGCTAGATGCATTATGGCAAAGGTTTACGGGCGTCCGTTCATTATTTGGGTTTACTTAGTGGTTTTGCTTACTTCCCCAAGCATGGATGGCGAAAGAATTGGTAGCAGCATGATCACTGCTCACAGCATAGCATTTGCAGCTCAATACCCAGAGATTAGACAGCATTACCGCATTGTGCGCTTACGCTCGTCGTGTTGTGTCCAATGTCTGATGATGAGGTCTTTGCAGGTTCGTCCGATTGATGACGAGAGTTTTGCAACCCGGGCAGTATTAGATGGCTATCCGGGCCGTACCCACTATGACCCGTAGTGATAGAGAGAACGACAGGAGTAATAATAAGGATAATGACGACAGACGAAGACGATGAAAGACGACGATAGACGACGATATCGATAGAAGACGACGATAGACGACGACGACGAATCTCCAACGTCTCCGTCGCCTGGTTTCGTTCGCAGCGTTGTGAGCTTCCAGCCCCAGACCCCCGCTCCGTACCCGCTTGTTCCGCGCCCCGAGCCCTCTATCCACACACGGCGCCAACTTTCATATCCACACCATCGTCGTCGCCATCCACTGTGGAGATGTCTCATGCATTTGCCGTCCAACCAGCATCTTTAACACGCCCCTTTGGCTCAGTGGTAGAGCGTCTCACTCGTATCGTTGCGAACTATGAGAAGGTCCACGGTTCAATCCCGTGAGGGGGCATGTTCTTTTGCTTCGGGCTACTTTAACAAGCTTTTTGGCCTTAGAGGACGTGACGCTTTGTTTTGATGTTTTACTGGCGCCATGAGGGTTTTCTCAAGAGGTGCAGACGCTGGAAATAGGCAATGTATTAGCTGATAATTAAGCAACCAGCAAGTGTGGTAGAATCGTTGCCGTTCGGCCTGATGCCTAATTATCTTGAGAAGTTTCGTCAGGAAAGCAATCTTTTTGAAGCGACTTCTTTTACTGAGCAAGAGTTAAGTACGCAACAAACTCACGATATTTGAGACGAATACAACGCTGCTAGAGCTGCAAAATCGACCACATGGGCACAGTCTGCTACTGAGTTCCCATTGCATGTATGGTTTGTGGCAGGCTTATCCAATACACAGACGAAAACAGAGTTAACCAACATCATCAAATGCGATTTATCAAAGTAAATCCAAAACACTCTTTTCGATGATGAACTCTCTCAAGGCGCGCATTACAACGCCTTGATTTGAAGCAAGCCCCATAAACCAGCCTCGATTCCTTAAACACCCAAAATCTTTCCCAGTAAGAACGCTTTAAAAGGTTCGGTTAGATTTCTCTGAGGCGGAATAGCTGTACAAATGAAGCAGCATCCCCGCACTTTGGAGTTGACAGCCGCAAACAAATTAGGAGAACCTCTGCCATATGCGACCAGGTCCTAACAAGGGGGGGCATGGAAAATAAAACCGCAGTCTAAGACCTCACTCTATAGAAGCGGGCACTCATGCGGAAATGCTGACCACGAATACTTCTGTGGAATAACCACTCAATGATGATTGAAAACGACATTCGTTGGCAACGGCAAACATGCCCATACCGTGTATTACAAGCACAGAATAGCATCAGGCCTTGATTAAATACTGAGAGCACAAATATTGCCCGACACGTACTGCATACCCATTGCCAAGAGCAGTTATGGGTATATTGAATCAGAGTTTTTATATGAATTCCCTCTAACCCTGTTCCTGCTCCCGAACTTCATCTTGGGCTGGGCCAGTTCACAATGGATCATTTCGAATGTAGCAAGAAGCAAAGAGCTGTACACATGAAACATGCCGTGAATGGACGCCGTCCCCGGCTCGATTACCCCCAGGGCATGGATGACTTAGTAACAACCAAACCGCCCCCAACATCAAATATCACACCACGAGACTAGCTCCAAAAATAACCTCCATCCCTCCCTCCATCTTTCTATCGGAGTTGCTTGCCGGCCTCAATGCCGAAGTAAGTCCACAGATCTAGCCCCCAAACCCGAGGACCAGGTATCAGATCACCAAGGGCTACTTAGACCTGGGTGGCTGAGTAACATCATCTTCGGCACTGCTTTCCGGTGCAAGATTTAGGTAAAGACACCTGCGAGATCAAGACCGAGTGCTCGTCTAGACTGCAAGATCCGGGAACGTGCTTTCAACTGCGAGATTCAGCTGGCACTGCCACTGCTGCAAGATCAAAACAACTCTACTCCCATTGTTTAATGCTGAGCACTACTCAACCTGCGAGATCTAACTGTGGGGATGTTAGTCGCAGGACGGAAGGAACCACGCTATAAGTGATCGTCACATCAAAGCACGCAGGATTTCAGCCGGTCGAGGTCGTGGTCTGATCTCAAGGGGCGGCGTATGTCAGTCCAGCTTTCTGGGACGGTAGGACGTGCGGGGTTTGGGGGCGCCCACGACGAGACGAGACGAGTCAGAATGGCGCCGGAGGGGAACGGCTCAGCTTTAGTGCGCTGGCTGTCTGTTGAGAAACAACAGTCACATCCAAAGACAACAGTTTGGGTTAGATGATATGTATTTGGGCGAAATAAATCATAACTCCTTGGTGCTGATGTCAAGTTTGCTTGGGACGCGCCCTCGAGACACCGCTTGTACGTGTGCGTTTCCACAATATGCGACATGAAGTCTCCCTTAATCCTTTCAAATATTGTACAGATGTGTCCGTTGATTGTGGAATTTCTCATTCTTCGTTCTTCAGTAGTCTCTCGTCGCACCACCCTGGTCGTCGTCCCCGTCGTTGATGGGGATGGGCGGGGGAGGTTGCGGGGTCTGAGGTTTGTGGCTTGGGTAGGATGCCATGTCGTATTTGGGTCTGTGGCAACATCATATCATATCAGCGCTGAGCTGTCATTTCTCACTGTCCGTCGTGAGGGCCATACCTGATTTTTATATGATGATCGCTGATGTGATAGCCGCGGGAGGCAAGAGCGGGAGAAAGTTCTGTCGTCCGTCGTCTGGAAGAAAGGGGGCAGTGGCATGGGAAAGCTTATATGTCCATCAGATAGCATCGAATACTTGGAGATCGGTAGAGGAGAACATTGATCGGCGGGGGCGTGACGTCAGGCCACCATGATGCGGGAGTGCGACGACTTTTGGGACCAATCTAACTGGAGCACGGCCATGGCTCGGACGGCTCATGAGAGTGCTCGCTGCTTGTCACGCGGCATTGTGCCTCCGGATAAATGGATGGGGTTTGATAGTTCCTTAGTGTGATAGTTCACGAGGTTGAGAAGGTGTGGCTCAGGTGTTTGCCGGATGAAGATTGCGGATGAGGCACGCGGATGGTGGGACACGGTTCCAGGGGTAGCAATCTCGCATGGAGGGAAGCTATTGATCTGTCAGTTCGGGATCAAACCATAGAAGTTTGTTTGTCTGTAGGTATGTAGCCGTGGAAGTGACCATGCTTAGGTTGACACCGAGAGGCTTTAGCCGCCTAGGATCACCGTTGTTGGTATTGGCGGGGTAAGTAGCGAAAGCTCCGGATTGCTCAGCGCTGCAGAGTTCAGGCTCGCGATTTGCTGCGGTTTCCCGCGCCTACCATTCGTTTGAAGCTATTGCTCGGTTGTTTCGCAGTTTCGGCAGGCAAGTGTATGTTACAGCTTGCTTGCTTCTCGGTGGCCTCCAGTTCGGCCGAACAACTGAGCGAAGGCGTTCAACCTCCGAAGCACCAGTCCCCTGAACGCTGGCTTGGAATCGTTAGCTCCCGCTTGCTGACGGCTGATCCCCCGCCAACCCCGCCACGAGCTCTGGGAACCCCTGGCCGCTTCGGGCCCGTACTTGGCGACCCGCATGCGAAATGCTTGCGGCACAGCTGCCCAGAATGTATTCCTCAGAACATCGAATTCTGAAACCCCACCGCCGAAAGCAAGGCTTCTGGAGAAGGTCATTTGCCCGACATACCCGAGCGAACCGGAAGCTCCTACGCTCCGAGAATGCGGAATGCGTTGAAATGACCGTTTTTCGCAACATCTGCGGGGGACCGCATGGTGTCAGCCGTTGGCTTGGACGAAAATGCCAACGGGATCAGGCAGCTTAGTGCGCTATGGGCGATGAATGATTCGGATGACAGTTCAGAACCCACATCCGTGCTATGGGATGTCGTATAGCAATGCCATGAGGAGGCCTCGAGGATGGCAGCCAAAAAATTGCCGTCGTCGAAGGGCTTCTCTGATTGTTGTTGCTCTCATTGTCCCTCGTGGACCCTTATCCAGCAGCCCTGCGGCGTGATGCAACCGCACCACATCCTGCCCGTTGCTTGTGTTGGCAAGATGCATTCCTTCCAAGTGGCCTCCATCTTTGTATTTTCTCATTTGTGACCTGTACGCTTTCCTGCCCTCATGCAGCTGTTTCGAGCGGCAAGAAGGCCTAGTTGGGAGGCCCCAATCTCGTCCAATCCTTCAACGGGCAACCGTGGTCAGACAGCAAGCCGAACGCAGCGTCCTTCTCGCCTGGAGAGCTTCCTGTCGTTTTGGACTGTTTCGCCAAGGCCGTTACCCCTCTGTTGGCGATGTCTTACACAATGACTGGCTTGCCGAGCGTTGCGGTTTTCTGCATTTATTCTCCACGGTTGTTCCAGGGATTATGATAGTCTTGTCGCCGACACCAGGATAGGAATGGACGACAGAGCCGTGGGCATAGGAACGACGGTGAGGGAGGGAAAAAGGAGACGCGCAGAACTTCCGTAAAGTACGATTTTTGAATCTCGATTCAGGCCACCAGCTTTGACTGGCTCCAAGCTCCAAGCTCTCCGTCGTGTCGGGGCTGGGGTCCTAGCTTCCGCTCGTAAAATGCATGGTGGGGTGATGTCTGCAGGATTGACACTCGGCGGGGTCTGTGGAAAGCTGTCAGGGTGAGCAGGGTCGCCACTGCAGGCTGCCAGGTTTAGGGCAGACGAGTGGAGGCAGCTGTGCCATGATCTGCGTGCAGGCACACGATCCAGACTGCCTTTGGAATCAGCTGCTTTTGAATTTGGGCGAGGAGCCGGCCGGCTTCCGCTGGTGCTGTTGTGTGTCGTCCGCAACAGGCCGGTCGCTAGCAGGTCCACGACTGAGGCAGACCGGCATGGTTTTGGCGCATTTGGCATAGCTTTCGGGGCATGGCCAAGACACCTCTTTGGAGCGGGCGGGACATTGCCGCGTGCCTTGTCTTTGCTTGGTTGCCATCGAGAACGAGATGGGTTGGTCGACCGTTGGCTGATCGATGCCCTGGTCTGCCATCCTTGCTCGAGGACGGACAAGGACCTTGTTTTGACATTGATCTTGTCATTTCCAGCTCCGCTCTGCTATCATTGATGGCAGTATTGCGGATGGCGATGCTTTTTGGTGGTGGATGATGCCCGGCACTGAATCAGTGGCCTGCTGTAGTCTGGTATCTGCTGGGGGAACGCAGCAGCAGACCACGGGTTGGATAAACGGACCGAGATGGTAAAACGGCAGGTCTTGGCTCTGGAAGCTGCGAGGCAACGGAGGCTCTGTGTGCGGCGAGGGAAGAGGATCCTGTTGTTTTCTCGGCAGGACGAGGCCACAGTGCCGTGATGGTAGGGAGACATTTTGCCGAGGCCATCTGCTTCAATGCCACGCCAAGGGCGGAATCGCATCTGGCGATTTCCCGTAGTCTTGGAAGCTGACCATCTCATTCCCGACGATTAAGTAGTGAGACCATTCGGCGAAGACGACAGAGGTTAGGGTGTCGAAAGGG